CTGACATGAACCCCATCGAGAACGTCTGGGAGTTTTTGAAATCTGAGGTTACGATGAAAGCCCCTACAACCAAGCAAGAGTTGATCAATATACTTAATGACACTTGGAAACATAACCCAGAGCTCAAAATAAAATTCAAAACTGTATAAGCCGTATGCCACGTCGCGTTGAAGCTGTGTTGGCTGCGAAAGGTGGTCATACAAAATACTGATTTTTGCAAAAAAATGTATTTTCATGTGAAAAGATTCCATTTTCATGTAAATTTCTAATTTTCTATGTGAAATTTGTTGTATTTACAATAAATGTTGATGTTTCATCATGGATAAGCTTTGTAAATGTCTACTGGCGTGTTATAAGCCAGGAAAACGTCATTTTTAAGCATGAGTCCAATAATATGGCAAGGGACTGTACTTTGCTGCCAAATGTATTGATCTCCACTAATGATGATGAATTAGTTTTATTTAAGCTTTAAATCAATAAATCTTCAAAACTACTGAACTGGAGTACATTAATTTTATATCAATATAAAGGGAATTGAAAGACCTTTAAAATAAGGTATCACTCGACCCCCCTTTCCATTTAAGATTATGGGGGTGGTGGCACCTCCGCTTAGGGGGTTGCACGCGCTAACGTGATTTTTTGCCAGACTTGTGTCCCCCTCGAAAACAAAATCGACGGGTCTGAGCGTTTTTCAAAAAAAAAACTGAGCTGCCAGTAAATGCGTCTGTTTCGTTTTCGATGCGACACCCTGTATATATAATAATATAATATAATTTATGATTGCTAACTGCTTTCAATAAATTTGTAGAACTGCAGAAATCTTCAATTTCAAATACTAATAGTTTCTGTAAAATCGATGCATGGCCTTATTTGGTACATGTACCTTACTTTAAGAAATACTCACTTATACAATAAAATTAGATATAAATCAAATAGCCTATTTTACCCACCCTGACATTATGAATTTATTTGTGCGTGAAGCCGAAGAACGACACGTGGCGATACGCGTCATTTATTTTTCATTGAAGAGATGCTGAAAAATGCACCGAACTCGCGAGTCGCCCGAACTTTCGTGCGCGGTAAATTCAGCTCGATTAACTTGGACCTCGAGGCCATTTATCTCTCTCCATGTACGGCTAATGATTAATATTGGATGGCTTCGCGGAATATTCCTGGAAGACGCGTTCTACGGACGGAGTTTCTAGGAGAGGAACGATGGTTGAATTCTAGCTGGATGCGAAATGGGATTGCGGTCTCATTGTGGGATCGAAGCTCGGGATAGTCCTAAAGGAAGTTCATAATTATATTGAGAATTTATAGTAACCGAAGGGAAGAAATATACTAAGTGCCGATTTCATGCAGATTTTAATATAACGGGCTCTTCGATCAATTAAGGAGCACCTTATCGAAATAGAATTTGACGGAAGCTGTCAAAGCTCTCCTAATATCGCTAATTTCTATTGAAATATTGAATAAAATCGTGAAAATGAGGTTGCTTTATATATAAGGGTGCGCTATGGATGTAATATTATGTCTTTGAGCTTTAGAATTAGAATAACTTTCATAGAATTTCCAATTTCACAAAATACGGTCAGTTATTTAAATGGACCAATGAAAGTGTGAGAAATACGTCGATTTTCTAGCTGATATATTTAATAGGACGTTTTCACTATTTTTGACGACTATCCATTCATGGCAATCTATTTTTGTCTCTATATCAGGGTGTTGTAATTTCACGTATAGTCTTATAAAGCATAGTAGAGTATATTTCAACAGTTGGCGGCGCTCCACTGGGACCAAGCGTTGACCGATCCCACATATACAGGGTGTCCCAGAAGTCGACGTCAAGCTGAAACCGGGTGATAGGCAAAGTTTGAGAATTATAGGTCTTTGAAAAAAATATAGAAATTTCACACCCTACGGCAGTCTGTCAACTCCTGTTACTACAAATATTAACTTTTTTTGGATTTTATTTTACAATGTAAACTTCAAACTGGTGTCTCAACCTTACTGCCAACTTTTCTCGTTCAGGAAAAATTGCCACTTATTCACCCAACCAAGTATTCCAAAGTAAAACTTCGCTCAACTTTAACTGGCTGTACTGGAAAAAATGTACTACGAGAGTTTGGCAAGTAACCTTAAAAGTTGGCGCATTTAATAAGGATTCCAAAATGGTATAACACTTATAAGATTACTCGTTAACTTATGCACAATTTTTATTGGAAAAAAAACTGATGAAAATTTTTCAAAATTTCCTAATTAAACAGCGATTATGAAAACGCACAAGGACCCTTAAGGATAACTGTTTGCACAACAGTGGGCGTCAAAATGCTGCTGATGATGATTTACCTTTACAGCAAATGCTCAAACTGTTTTCCTTCAGCCGCAATACACGCTCGACACCGTCCTAAAAAAGATCGGGTTATTAAACGAGCGAATCCACGGTTATTAACAAACTCAGCTGCTTCCAATAGTCTTTGACGTAGCTCAGCTACATTTTGAATCGGCTTGAAATACACTTTTTCTTTTACAGTTCCCCAGTAAAAAAAATCTAACGGATTCAAATCTGAGAGTGCATAGTGCGCTGGGCAGCCATCAAGCTGAAACCACATGTCCCTGTAAATACTCAGTGGCACGTCCTCCAATAAATTTTCTAAATGATTTTGCAAAAAACCTAAATAAACCTCAGCAGTCAAAGTCTCTGGGAACTCAAACGGACCGATTATTATACCATTTAAAATTCCTGTCCAATGGTTTATCTTGAAGCGATATTGAGATTTATCTTCTCTCATCAAATGTGGGTTTGCTACGTGCCACTCGTGTAAGTTATGCAGGTTCATGTACCCATCTTTCTTAAATGTGGTCTCATCTGACCATAAAATCTTTTCAAAGAACCGTGGATCTTCTCAGTGTCTTTCTAACATTGTGCGACAAAAAGCAACTCGGGGCTCATAATCCCGGGGCAGAAGAGCTTGCACACGCTGTACGTGATATGGACGGAGCACGTTTTTTTGCAAAATTCTATGGGCTGTACTTTTGGGCACACCTGTTTTTAGTTCTATTGCACGCACTGAAGTACTCGGATCTTCTTCGACAGCTCCTAGCACCACGTCTTCGTAAGGAAGGAAAGATCTTCCCTCACCGTTTGATTGGTTTTGTAGTTGGCCCTCTGAGAACAGTAAGCAGTGCACATTTGTGAACACTCGATGATCAGGATGACGAGCTGCATTCGGGTACCTCTCACAGTAAAGTCTCGCTGCAGCACTAGCGTTGCATCTGCATTCCCATAAATGAGGTGCATGTTAGCATATTCTTGTACGGTGTACACGGACATAGCGGCACTGCTCAATCACACTATCAACGATAGTCTAAGGAAAGCAAATGTTGTTTTGAAGAGCAATTAAACAGTCCAAATCCAAATCACAAGCGATCAACAGTCCAGTTCACGAATCCAAAATTAGTAACACTACGAAATCAACAAGCACAAACATGTAAAGATGCGCAGTAAACGAAGGAGTACTGATCGGTATCAAAGTGTGCAATAGCAAGTAAGTGATGTGCTTCATCCATACCACATACAGCGTGTTCAACCTCTCCTGCCCCGGGATTATGAGCCCCGAGTTGCTTTTTGTCGCACAAAGTTAGAAAGACACAGAAAAGATCCACAGTTCTTTGAAAAAATTTTATGGTCGGATAAGACCACATTTAAGAAAGATGGGTACATGAACCTGCATAACTTACACGAGTGGCACGTAGCAAACCCACATTTGATGAGAGAAGATAAATCTCAATATCGCTTCAAGATAAACGATTGGACAGAATTTTAAATGGTGAAATAATCGGTCCGTTTGAGTTCCCAGAGACTTTGACTGCTGAAGTTTATTTGGATTTTTTGAAAAATCATATACAAAATGTATTGGTGGACGTTCCACTGAGTATTTACAGGGACATGTGGTTTCAGCATGATGGCTGCCCAGCGCACTATGCACTCTCAGTGAGAGAGTATCTCGATCAAAACTTTCCAGGCAGATGGATAAGGCGGTCTGGTACAATACCGTGGCCAGCCCGATCACCTGATTTGAATCCTTTAGATTTTTTTACTGGGGCACTGTAAAAGAAATAGTGTATTTCAAGCCGATTCAAAATGTAGCTGAGCTACGGCAAAGACTATTGGAAGCAGCTGAGTGTGATAATAACCGTGGATTCGCTCGTTTAATAACCCGATCTTTTTTAAGAAGATGTCGAGCGTGTATTGCGGCTGAAGGAAAACAGTTTGAGCATTTGCTGTAAAGGTAAATCATCATCAGCAGCATTTTGATGCCCACTGTTGTGCAAACAGTTATCCTTAAGGGTCCTTGTGCGTTTTCATAATCGCTGTTTAATTAGGAAATTTTGAAAAATTTTCATCAGTTTTTTTTCAAATAAAAATTGTGCATAAGTTAAATGTGTAATCTTCTAAGTGTTATACCATTTTGGAATCGTTATCAATGCGCCAACTTTTAAGGTTACTTGCCAAACTCTCGTAGTACATTTTTTCCAGTACAGCCAGTTAAAGTTGAGCAAAGTTTTACTTTGGAATACTTGGTTGGGAAATAAGTGGCAATTTTTCCTGAACGAGAAAAGTTGGCAGTAAGGTTAAGACACCAGTATGAAGATGCATTATTCATCATTACATTGTAAAAATAAAATCAAAAAAAGTTAATATTTGTAGTAACAGGAGTTGACAGACTGCCGTAGGGTGTGAAATTTCTATATCTTTTCAAGGACCTATAATTTTCAAAACACATACATAAAATTTTTTTAAATATTTTTCTGATAGCTGTTATGACTTTGCCTATCACCCAGTTTCGGCTTGATGTCGACTTCTGGGATGTGTCACCTGTTGGGAAGTTTTGAAATATATTAATCAGCTGTTATTAAAAAAATTTCTAATATAAATATAACCTACAATGTGTACTTAGTGAAATAAGAAGTTACTCCAAATTCTACGTTTTTTGCAGGTTTTATGTATGCCGGTAGCTTTACGACATATATGTGAGTATTTCTTAATCGCTGTAAATATAGTGTGGATGTTTGTTCATTACTTGATCAACGAAACATATTCGTCTTTATAGATGTATGGATATCAAAATCCGAAATGGTTTAGCGGGAATATCAATCTAAGGTGGTATAATGGTACTGATGAACGGCAAGTAAATGAATGCATGTTTGGAAACGAGCAATATGTATGAAATTTTTGGCAGAGTCTGTCGACAAGTAGGTGCTTAATGGCTATATGTAAGAGGTTTACGGGAAAAACACACGGTAGGTGATGTTAAATCAGTAAAATTGCATATCAATTGAAGAAAATAATATAAACATGAATAAGCAATCGCCGATTTTAAAAAAACATGAATTTTAATAAAAAATCTAACACTTTTTCAAACTTTGACTGAATTGTATGTAATTTCTTAATATTCAATAAGCTGGTGATGTTTCAATGACAAGCTGTCGTCTCATACTTTCACAATATTTTGTTTTCAACGTTTCATAGCTATTGGTTACTAAAATTTGTTGATTGGAACTTGAAGCTCATTCGTTGTATTTGATGAACTGTTACACTATTGGTGGAGAATAACGGACCGTTGACTTGACAATCCTGATGGAATCCACCCTAAGTGACTTGTAAATATATTTGCTATGATAAAATGTTGATGGCATTCCGAGCAGTACGTTTTTGTAAAGGCTAGTCGGTGTTGCATTTTGTATGTCATTTAGCATATTCTTAAGAAAACGCTTTTATCTTTAGCTGTTACTATACTTGAAGATACTTTTTTCCATTTTAAGCATGACTTTTTTAACTTCTTAACCATTGAACTGATGATGACAGTTCACTTCATCTCAAATTTTCAAATCTTTGGAATAGTGTTGAAGGGTGAAGAGGTATCCTTTTCCCGCATCTTAAATTTAGAGACTGTATGTTTTTTGTAGGTATAAGTTTACAAGTAAATAAGATGTTATAACTCGTAATTTATGTACCAAAGTGGGGTAGTGTAATAATGTTTTCTTGACATTAATACACTACGAAACGTTCAAGTTTAAACAAAACTTATGTATAATACTTTTGAAATGATTATGGAATCTCAATTTTCACCAAACGTTTACCCTGAAGGTGTGAATTTTCAACTGCCGTTTGAAATACGTATGCTAAGATTTAACCTAACGTGATTATTATATCTTTTTGACAAAATGCTATTGAATTACACTTACTGGTGCTTAACGACAGGTTGTGGTTAGTGGCATATCTTCATTTATCAAATTTGTTGTTGTTAATAAGTTTTCCGTGTTAAAATGATGAATCAACAGGGTATTCTTTGCATAAGCAGCCATAGAATAGTGTGATAAGGCAGTTTGAAAATCGGCAGTGTAAATTATGAAAAGAAGAGGACCCAGAATTGAGCCCTGGGGAACTCTTAAAACAACTGTTTTACTTTCAAATATATCACTTTGAATTTTGACCTTTCAAGAACGATCAGTTACATATAGAGATATAGAAAAAAATCAAAGATATGCCATAGAGTCCATAATATTGGAGGTTGATCAGTGGTATCAAAAGCTTTGGAAGGTCCAGAGTAATGAGTACTGTAGCAGTTTTCTATCCAATGCTTGGTATTGGAGTATTTTCTCTAGCAGTTTCAAGAGGTAACAAGCTGATTGGACGCAAGTCACACAGACTTGATAGCGATAAGTTTTCAGGTACAGGTTTAGCTACAGCTTCCTTCCATCGACATTATTCTAAACAACAATTAACAATTTGAATAATTTAAGATAGTATAGTTGGGATACACATTTTGATCATACTGATGGAAACTATAACACCCAAAGAATATACTATCTAATTTTCGCTATTAAAATACTTGTCGTTTTATGACTAAGGGTATTTTCCTTTTTTTTTCAGTGTATCAATGATGAAACGCCGACGTCGCCAATGCGGCCAGATTTGCCTCCTATTGACCGGCATCCTGCTCATCTCGACCGGCCTGTCAATCTTCGTCTTCTTCGACGCCATTTACGAGTTCATCCTCAAGGGCGCGCTCCAGTTCAGTCCCACGTCAAAGTCGTACGCAGCGTGGAAGACGAACGACCCGCCATTGTCTATGGACATCTACATCTTCAATTGGACCAATCCGCAGGATGTGATGGCCAATTCTTCGGTCAAACCGGAGTTTGTTGAAGTCGGACCTTATAGGTAATCAAAAAGATTACCCTGGAAATCTGGGGAGCCCCAACCCGGTTCTAAGTGCCCCTGAGTATAGAAAATATGTGTAGTTATGATGCTCTTTCAGACCACACAGGGGTATCTTAAAGATATTGAGGTTGCTGAACTCGTGACAAGCTGACCTTTGTTCATCAAGTTTAAGGTCATTCTAAGATAAAATTCATAAAAATGGTCAAAGATCTTCAAATAAGTGCTTGAGTGTGTTTTTGAGTCGCTGAGTGAATCTCGCATTTGTTTTTGTCCAGCATCCACTCTGACATTCAAGTAACATTAATATGACCTTAAAGTAACCTCTGGATGACCTTGTCATGTGAATAAACGTCGGGTTTGGATTAAGCAACCCAAGGAACCGACGTGTGGTGGCTTTGAGATAGATACAAACATTTTTATACAAGTGACACTAGAATATCCTTAATTTGACCTTGAAATAGCTACTGACTTTGGATTTAGAAACTCATGAATCGTTTAGGTAGACGTTTTCAACTAGATACAAAAACTTTTACCAAACTTGACCTCAAAATAACCTAGACCTGGCCATTTTTACACTAGTGTCCCATGAACAGGCTCAATTTAACCTTGAAATATTCTCTGGATGACCTCGTCTAATAAAACTAACACCATGCTCAGGCTCAGCCAGGCAGAGCAAGCGCCAAATTTGGATTCAAACCTCAATAAAACATTTAGGTAAAAGTTTTCAAGTAGATTCAAATACTTTTACAAACGCTGACCTTAAAGTAACCTTAATTTGACCTTGGGATTACTGTACTAAGCAAAACAAATCAGATTTGGATTCAGTGAAAAAATTACAATATATTTTTCAGTAGCCTGGAAACAACCTTAATTTGACCTTAAAATAGCCTCTGGATGACCTCGCCGGGTAGAGCAGATGCCAAATTTGGATTCAGAAATTCATAAATCAGATAGGTGGGCGTTTCAAAGTGAATTCAAACAATTTTACGAACCTTGACCTCATAAAAACCTTGACTTGACCTTGGAATAGCCTCCAGATTACCGAGCTAGGCAAAACAAATGTTGCTCGATATAGATTTAGCTGTGGCCCTGGAATAACCTCAATTTGACCTTGAAATAACTTCCAGATGACCTCGTCAGGTAAAGCGAACGCGAAATTTGGATTCAAAACTCCATTGAACATGAAGGTGGAGGTTTTCAAGTAGATTGAAAAACTTTAACATTCTTTGATCTTGAAATAACCTTAATTTGATATTGGAATAACCCGACTAGGCAAAATAAGCATCACCAGATTTGGATCCAGTGACCCAAGAAACTACGATATATTTTGTTCAAAAATGCCTAAGCACCTCTTTCAAGCTTGACCTTGGAGTGACCTTGAACGTGGCGTAGTACCAGCTGTTTGTACGTTGAAGACCAAATTTCGCACTATTTTCGGGCCCCTCAAATCATAGGACCGGCTCTTTATGGCCCAAACTTTCAAGGTTTGTTAGTGGTAGCATACCACAAAAATGCTCGAAGATTGTTTTTTGTATTGTCAATCAGCAAAGAACACACTGAAACTCAAACTTTTGGTGCAGTTGAGTCACTTTAGCACCCGTGATGTCCTTCAAATAAGTGCTTGAGTGTATTTTTGAGTCGCTGAGTGAATCTCGCATTTCCACACATTCAAGTAACCTGAGTATGGCCTTAAAGTAACCTCTGGATGACTTTCTGTCGGGTTTGGATTAAGCAACCCAAGGAACCGACGTGTGGTGGCTTTGAGATAGATGCAAATATGTTTATACAAGTGGCACTAGAATATCCTTAGTTTGACCTTGAAATAGCTTCTGGCTTTGGGTTTAGAAACTCATGAATCATTTAGGTAGACGTTTTTTAGTAGATACAAACACTTTTACCAAACTTGACCTCAAAATAACCTAGACCTGGCCTTGGAATAACCTCCAGATTTCCTCGCTAGGAAAAACAAACGTCGCTAGATTTGTATTCAGTTACTCAAGAAATCGACATGTGGAGGTCTTAGGGTGGATACAAACATTTTTACACTAGTAGCCCAAGAAGAAGCTCAATGTAACCTTGAAATATCCTCTGAATGACCTCGTATAATAAATTTAATACAATGCTTAGACTCAGCCAGGCAGAGCAAGCGCCAAATTTAGATTCAAATGCTTTTCAAGTAGATTCAAATACTTTTGCAAACGCTGACCTTGAAATAACCATAATTTGACCCTGGAATTACTGTGCCAGGCAAAACAAATCAGATTTGGGTTCAGTGACTCACCTCGGAACAACCTTAATTTGACCTTGAAATAACCTCTGGTTCACCTCGTCGGGTAGAGCAGACGCCAAATTTGGATTCAGAAATTCATTATTCACATAGGTGGGCGTTTCAAAGTGAAGTCAAAGAATTTTACGAACCTTGACCTCGAAATAACCTTGAATTGACCTTGGAATAGCCTCCAGATTACCGAGCTAGGCAAAACAAACGTCTCTAGATGGATTTCGCTGTGGGCCAGGAATTACCTCAATTTGACCTTGACTTAACCTCTAGATGACTTCGTCAAGTAAAGCGAACGCGAAATTTGGATTCAAAACTCCATTGAATATGAAGGTGGAGGTTTTCAAGTAGATTGAAAAACTTTAACATTCTTTGATCTTGAAATAACCTTAATTTGACTTTGGAATAAACCGACTAGGCAAAATAAACATCATCAGATTTGGATCCAGTTACCCAAGAAACTACGATATATGTTGTTCAAAAATGCCTAAGCACCTTTTTCAAGCTTGACCTTGGAGTGACCTTGAACGCTGGTACTACGCCTAGTACCAGCTGTTTGTACGTTGAAGACCAAATTTCGCACTATTTTCGGGCCCCTCAAATCATAGGACCGGCTCTTTATGGCCCAAACTTTCAAGGTTTGTTATTGGTAGCATACCACAAAAATGCTCGAAGATTGTTTTTTGTATTGTCAATCAGCAAAGAACACACTGAAACTCAAACTTTTGGTGCAGTTGAGTCACTTTAGCACTCGTGCTGTCGGTGTGCAAATCTCATGGCTAACATTTGTTTTTATTTCAGGTTCAAAGAAATAAAAGACAAATTGAACATAACGTGGAACGAGAACAAAACTGTGAGCTTTATGTTCAAGAAAACATATTATTTCGATGTGGAAAGGAGTGTTAGGCAGCTTAATGATAGTATATGTACAATAAATGCTGTTCCTTTGGTGAGTACTATTATCTTGAATGTTTTTAGACGTTTCATATAGTATAGATAACTTAATACCAATATTATATTATCTAAAATGTGATATAAAATCTGCAAAAAAGGGTCCATAGATGTGCCAAGACAAAACTAAATTCTACCATCCCTCCTTGTCCTCTCTACCAACCAGATTTAGCTCCATGCGATCTTTTTAAACACCGTTGATTACATTAAAACAAACTCGTCAAGGCCTTCAAAAGATTGCGAAAGAAGCTCACCAGGGTCCTGATTCTAAATGAGTTTCGACCATTGAGTTTAATTTCGATTGCTCCTTGTGACGATATATTTGATTCGCTATAATAATTTTGATATCTGCTTATATCGATCTTCTATTTTCAAATTATCGTGGCATTGTCAAGACTTTCACAGCAAATCAAGTATATTGTCACAAGGCGCTATCGAAATCAATTTCAATGGTCGAAACTCATTTAGAATCAGGCACTAGGTTTGATTTTCAAAGTGGAAACTCCACTGGAAGAAAGTTTGTGAATAGTGGGGAGTACTGGAATTGTTATCTCATGTTACTGCTTTATATTACAATATTGCTTGTTTTTTTTTCAGACAGTTAGCTATAAGTCCAAAAACTTCGGCTTCTGGTCGAAAAAGATGATATCCCTAGGGCTCTCTAGTATTTCTAGTGTATATGTGAAGAAAACCGCTGGTGAAATACTCTTCGATGGGTACGAAGAACCCATTCTCAGCACGCTTTCGAATTTCCCTATGCTCAATGTAGAAGATAAATTCGGCATATTTTACGGGGTAAGTATCTCACATCCAAAAAATTCTACAAACATTTTATATGCCCGTCCAGAAAGTAATGTTACACTGAATGTACCATCTCTTCTGCGCGCACCCAGAAAGGAAGTTTTAACTAGTTTCTGGCAGCTCACTTGGAGGCATGAGGCTGAAAAGCGAGGTGTTAGTAGACGTGGTGAATCGCATGACGCGAGGAGAGAGAACAGAATAAGCTAAAATTTAACAAATTAAAAAAAATAATAATAATGGTTGATGTTTTTGCTAGTATCTTTTTGGCAACACTGTTTTTGACAGATGACACGTGAATCGTGTCTTGTATCATTGTCAAACTTGTTCAGTTTGTTCTATAATTTAATCAAGAATCGACTTACGAACGACATTAAACCACCAACGCGCAGACGTAGAGTGAGGACTTTAGAAAATATTGCGGCTGTATCCGCCAGTGTTAGTGATGACCGTGAAATGTCGATTCGCCGCCGTTCTCAGCAATTGGGCCACTACGTGGAAAATTTTGCGACAGGATTTGGGTGTAAAACCTCTTAAGATACAGCTGGTGCAAGAATTGAAGCCACACGACCTCCCACAACGTTTCCAATTTGGTGAATGGGCGCTGACAAAGTTGGAGGAAGATCCACATTTTTATCGAAAAATTGTGTTCAGCGACGAAGCTCATTTCTGGTTGAATGGGTACGTTAACAAGCAAAATTGCCGCATCTGGAGTGAAGACCAGCCAGAAGCATTGCAAGAGCTACCAATGCATCCCGAAAAAATCAATGTTTGGTGTGGATTATGGGTGGGTGGCATCATCGGGCCGTACTTCTTCAAAGACGACAATGGCCGGAACGTAACTGTGAATGGCGAGCGCTACCGTGCGATGATAACAGACTTTTTTTGCCCAAAATGGAAGAGCTGGACTTGGCTGACATGTGGTTTCAACAAGACGGTGCCACATGCCACAACGCACACGAAACAATGGCCCTATTGCGAGGCGAGTTCGGGGAACAGTTTATCTCACGTTTGGGGCCCGTCAATTGACCGCCTAGATCGTGTGATTTAACGCCGTTGGACTATTTCTTGTGGGGCCATGTTAAGGCTAATGTCTACAGGGATAAACCAGCAACGATTGACGCACTGGAAGCCAATATTGAAGCATTTATTCGTGAGATACCGGCCGATATGTTGGAGAGAGAGTGCCAAAATTTGACCTTGCGCATGGGCCATCTAAACCGGAGCCGCGGCCAACATTTACATGAAATAATCTTTAACATTAAATTATATCGTCCGTTCTATCGACTCAAATAAAGATTTAATCGTTTTTTAAAATTTTTGTGTTTTTTTTTTGAAAATCAAATCCTATACCTCTTAAAAAATCACCCGTTATAACTTTTGTCCGTCCGCAGCGGGCCAACCATGGACAGTTGTTTCGTGCTTTTTGAAAACTGATCAGCATGGTCTGGGCCTGGTACCAGGTGGGGCAACAAGCGAAAACTGAACAACTATCCTCTGTCAAGGCTATAAGCTCTATGGTAATAAGGCAGGACAAAGTGCCATCTATTCCTAGAAAAGACCACTGCTAGTCTTCACTTGTTTTAAGTTGGTCTTAAATAATTAATGTTTGTCCGATTGAACTAAAAACACTAATACGGCCTGAAATACCGTAAAGCTATAATTTCAAATTATGTTCTTTTAGAGAGCTGAAAACGCTGTGTGCCATGGTTGGCCTATATTAATGTGTAATTTTTATACTCTATCTTTGATATTTAGGTACCCAAATATACTAAGTGACATATAAATCCGAACACCTAGTTTAAATGGTTTTATTTTAATAAAATTTTGTATAAGCACTTAATGAAGCATAATAAGTAAATGATGAATATTTCAAAATGGTTTGCACTGCTTTAAAGCCCTTTGCGACGTTGCAAATTGAGCAATCTCCTACCCATCATATCCCACACGTGCTCAAGTGGGGATAAGTCGGGAGATCTTGGTGGCCATGGTAACAATGTGACATCATTATGTTGAAAGAAGTCTATTGTGACTCTTGCAACATGTGGTCGGGCATTATCCTGTTGGAAAGTTGGATCTGCCAGGGTGTCAAGATAGGGTAAAAGATGGGGTTCTAGAGCTTCGTGGATATAACGCTGAGCGTTCATGTTACCTCTGATGAAGATTAAAGGCGACTTGGAATCATAAGCTATAGCACCCCAAACCATAACTCTAACAGTGTGATGAACATGTCTTTCAACAAAAAACTGTGGATTCCTCCTTTCACCACGTCGCCTTCTAACCCTGGCACGACCATCGAGCATGCATAAACAAAATCGAGACTCGTCACTAATGACAATACTGTTCCATTCCTGATCCCAGAGTGACCGTTGTCTGCACCACTCAAGGCGATTACGTCGGTGTTCTCGAGTTAAAGGGAGGACCCAGTGTGGCCGGTATGAAAACAAGCCAAACTTCTCATTCGTCGGTAAACACTTCGCATGCCAATAGGTCTTCCTTGTTCTGCAAACCATTCATTTGCAATGGACCTGGTAATGTAGAAACGGTCCCCTAAGGCCAATAATCTTAGGCGGCGATCTTCACGGTCTGTTGTTCTACGGCGGCGTCCAGTGCCCCTTGCCCTTTGCGTACGGCCTTCTCGAAGCCATGCCTGACAACACCTAACCACAGTGTCTACACTTCTTTGCACTCTACCTGCAATTGCCCGAAAAGAAAGTCCAGCTTCCCGAAGTCCCGCTATACGGCCCCTATCAACTCACTAAGTTGACGAAATCGTACAGGTCTCCGTACTCTAGGCATCGTAACCGATCATAAAGAATGTCAAGAACCAAAATCCGCCAACGTTGATTCTTACTGCGGCTGAAATATTCATTTTTAGACCGTTAGTGAATTAAAAAAAAGCAGTATAAAAACCGGAATGTCCAACTGATAAGGCTGAAAATTTTTTCTTTTGTTATTTACAGTAAGATAAATACATTCACCAACTTTTATTAAAATAAAACCATTTAAACTGGGTGTTCGGATTTATATGTCACTTAGTATATAAATCTTTTAGTCATAAATACCCTTCGTGGTACACCAGCGAAATTATTAGGAAAGTCAAGCACAAAGCAAAGTACAAAACGAGTCACAATAACCATCTACATGAACAGTACAAACGTCTTAGATCTGAGGTAAAGCGTCAAATATCTGTGGCCTATAAAAATTATACACGTAATGTTGAGATGTGCATCTCTCAAGATCCTAAACAGTTTTGGAGCTTCATGCATACAAAAAATCAAACTACTAGGATTCCTGGTAAAATAAAGTTGATTGACGTCTCACTGAACGATCCTTACTGTGCTGCATTTGCAGATTTTTTTAATAGCGTTTTTTTTTTGTTGATCCATCTACTCCATGGTTTTATTGAAGGCAGGAATGCTGCTAGTCAGGTTAACATATTTTTCAATAACATTCATGAAAACTCACGAATAGAGTAACGGCCGGCCCAGACAACATCCCCTCGTTCATAGTCAAAGATTGTATTCATGTCTTTGTTAAGCCGTTATTAACAATATACAATCTGACTATAGAAACCAACACATTCCCTGATATTTGGAAACTTTCTAGAGCGACACCTATTTTCAAATTAGGGGATAATACTGATTTTAAAAACTATGGAGCGGTGGCAATATTGTCGAATTTCTCCAAATTGCTGGAGGTGATATTGTATAATAGAATTTACTCCGCAGTTCGTAGATCTCTGTCCCCTTGCAGCACGGTTTTCTTACTAAGAGATTCACAGTAACTAATTTAACAATCTTCACTCAGTTCGCTATTGAATGTGTCGATAGGCAAGGTCGACTACAGTATATTCAGATAAGAGATAGACCGGACATAAACAAGACCACGTGATCATCGAACGCTGTAACATTCGGCGTATTAAGAGTCACGCAGTACATATTTTAGATAGGAGATGCTGCTTTGCGTAACTTTGTAGTAAATTAGCACAATTCGATGTGTATACGATTGGTGATGGATATAGGATCATGTGGGGGTGGGGTAAGAAATATATAATGATGTAAATATACATAAGGGTTTCAAAATTTCGCTCCGATTTCCAGCTTCGGATGCCGCCTGATGTTTGGTGAAATACAGTCGATTATAATCTCAAAATGGCGTTTAAATTAGCCTAAATTAAAAATAATCGTATATCTCTTAAAATTGCTTTTAGAATATTGATTAGTATATTTTTTGATTTCTAGGTAAATATGTAACCAAATTAAAACGTTCAAAACGTAAAAAAATGTGCATGGTTGAACATTGTCAGAAAGTAGATTCTTGAATAGGTTTTGCCAAAATGGGTTCAAAAATGTCAATAATTAATTAAAAAATACAGTAGCTTTATAATTACTTATAACTTACCGAATTTGATGAACGACATCTTTTATTGGAAAGATGAGCTTGATGAGCTTTCATCATCGCTACTGCCTGAAGCACCAACGTCAATAATGAATGGCTCGACTTGTTCCTCTAAAATATTGTCCAGTTCCCACATTCTCTTTTCAACTTTGTCTTTCACGTGCTTAATACAGTTTTCCCATTTTTGCGCTGTTATTAATTCTAGTGCATCTTTGAAAAGTCCTTTGAGGTCACAAAATTTAAAAGTTGTATTATGCTTAGCTATATAATTTTTAACCTCTGCCCATATGAGCTCAATGGAATTGAGCTCGCAATGGTATGGAGGTAAACGGAGCACAGTTTTATTTTGACTTGCTGCCATTTCGTCAATGGCGTATTTTTGATATTCCGCCTTGTGATCCTTGACAATTCTTAATAATTGTACTTTCAGCATTGCTTCTTCAAAGTTGATATTTTCGAGCGGAGCCAATTTTGAACATCAACTTTCCTTGAAGCACGTTCTTCGAGAATGATAAGGCGCATTCATTATCCAACACAATTACTGCGTTTTCCTCTAAGTTCGGTAAAATTTTGAAAACCACTGTTCAAACGATTCGCCATTCATTTCCTCGTTCATCTCCAGTTTTCTTAGACTCAAAGCACCACAGACCGTCAACAACAAATCCATCCTCACTGCCAATATGGCAGATAATGAGCGTTTTCCCTTTACCTGGAAATCGAAGTACTAACTGGTGTAGATTTATTTCAATAAGCGAACCTTTTCAAATGTTTTCATCACATTCAGCGAAAAAACATTGAGACATGAGTATCAGATTGTTATAATTGGGATTATTTAGTCATATTGAAAGAAAGAATATTGAACGTCGTATGATTACTCCGCGCTTCACAATTTAATTTAAAGTTATAAACCTTTAAAAATGAATAATCAGGAACCTGAAATACGCCCAAATATTAATATTAACAAATTATAACTTTATAAAGCTTAAAGTATGAATTAAAATGATTAGAAATATTAGGAACGGTACACAATATAAAACTTAGTAACTTTTTTTAAGTTTATAATATTCGACATATTTTAAGATTATATTAAAAAATTATTGAAATATCGAAAACACATAAAAACATGGCTTAAAAAAGTTATAAAAGTTTTGTTACTTGTAATATGTTTTATCTGCCCCCTGGAATTAATGTTTAGAACCTTGTTCCCAAGGTTTGAAAAACATCCGATTGTTGTCTATTACTCGTATTACCTGCTGGATTTTTTAATCCGGTGGACAGTCCATCTAGAAAGGCCCTCCTGGATGAAGTTACAGAATCATCAACCCATACTTTACGTAGTGTGTCCTGCGTTTACCCACGTTTCATCAAGGTAATAAATCTTCCTGTTTTGATTTCTATATTTCCCAATTTTTGTTAAATAATCCCTCCTCCATAGCACAATTTCTTCTCTATCCAGTAGTAAACTATTACGACCCCGTTTTTTCCATTTGAAATTTAAATGCTTCAGTAACGCATGGAAAGTTGATCGGTTGAAATTTGGCAACGTTGTATCTCCATTTACCTCCTGCAGTACTTTATCTATAGTAGGTATTTCATTCCTAAAGAAGAATTCATGCACTTTCCTCTTAATCGCATGCTTATCAGCTTCATCCAATGATTTAACAATACTTTTGCGATGTTTACTGGTCATTGGCTCAGAAAAGGTGTGATTTTTTTTGTATTGTCTTAACACATTAAACACTGATGCGCGACACACCCCAACTTTGTGAGAAACCTTCACAACAATTTCATTGATGGTTGATGCCTCGTTCTCCTCGCGCTCGATCTTATATATATTCAAAATGACCTCTTTCATTTCTGCACTCAGGTGTCTTTTTTTAGAGCGTTTCCTAGGTGGACTACAGGAGTTTACAACTTCATCGGCAGTATCTGTACTACTGGGCATTTTGCGCAAGCAGTTGATAACAATAACAATCAATAACAAGGTATAACAATAACAACGACAAACTCAACAACTTAATAAGATAACAAACGAAAACGTCCAAAGAAATATCAAATTGCAATGATGCACACGACATACGTAACACGTCTGAACCTGAATGTGACTCTGCCTTGATACGACTGCTCTGCCGCTCGGCATAGGCATTTAATTGCGAATTGACCAATGAGGGCTCCTGTTTTACGTCGAGACGGCGGCGTTAGCGTGAAAATCACCCTAACCTTTTGTTTACATCCGGTCTATCTCTTATCTGAATATACTGTAGATGTGGTATATACCGAATTTGCTAAAGCGATGGATAGGGTGGACCATGGCATACTTTTAAATAAACTTTTTTATTATGGATTCCATTCATCAGCTTTAGCACTCATTCAAAGTTATCTTCATGAAAGGAAGCAATATGTTACTTTTAATGGATTCAAGTCGTACCAGTATATAACTAAACCGGGAGTGCGTCAGGGTTCAAATCTTGGTCCTTTATTGTTTACCGTATTTATTGATGATGTGCATTATTTAAGTTGTAAAAAGCTGCTCTTTGCGGATGATTGGAAGCTAACACAATCAACCAAGCACAGCCCCAAAAACTTCGTTTCCTCATTCGTATTAAGAGTACCGTTATTTAAAATTCAAGCGGTGTTAACGATACTTGAGGATTGTGAGCGCATTTGTCCATAATTGTGTGGAAAATACAGAGTCGACCTACTACTATTTTTTTTCAGAAAAATGGCACGGTGAGCAAAGACGGCTGGTTCGAAATGTCGTACCGGCCAGACGAATCTTTCGGCAGAATGCTCTCGTGGAACTTCCGCAACCAAACCGACTTTTACGAGGGGCACTGCAACGATATACGGGGGTCGGCCGGAGAGTTCTACCCGTTGAACAGGAAAAGGGACAAGCTGGTGCTGTACTCCTCGGAGTTGTGCAAGTACGCTGAACTGGAGTACGACCGAGACGTTGTCGTCAAAGGTGTTAGAGGGTACCGATATATCGCCGATAACATATTTGATAACGGTAAGTGAGATCATTGATGAACGTATTCGTCCTGAAGATACCCAAATAAAATAGGCGATAAAGAGGCACCAAAAACGGTTTGGAGACCCTAGCGCCATCTATGTGTCGGTAGCAGAAGCAAACACTCTAACTTGTTCCAAAGTAGGTTTCTATATTCATCTGTATGTTCTGCTACTGTCTCATAGGTGGTGTTAGGGCTTACAGACCCAGCGAAGCTGTAAGTTTCTGCCCCACTGTCGTTTCCAGGCATCGTAGTAACGAGGCTTATAGGGCACGCCTTTCTAACGTGCATATTGCTTGGTGCTGCATGCTTCTTTCTCTCGCTCTCTTTCGTACTCTCGTACATATTGAAATCTAACAGAGAAAACGAGCTTGATCAGCACTGTATACCTATACAGCGTGTTTCAGTATATTGTTGCATAACTTTAAGATTCGATAGAACTTTTAAAATTAATGCATAAGTCTATATAAGAATGGGTCGAAAAATGCGTGGCTTCCGAAATACAGGGTGTTTAAATTTACTTTTTAAAATAGTTTTTTTTTTAAATATTGCGAACAATATTTGATGTATAACAGTGAAAATTGGTACACAAGGGTTTTTTGGTACGACAAAACGAACCGTGGGCATAGTTTTACTGTAGCCCCTAGAAGGCGCTCTCTACTGTACCTGTAGTGTATTAAAATGACCGAAACAATTTTCTTAGTGCAATTTTTTACTTCTTGAATAAAAAAAACTGATTCTTCGCACTTTTCTGTATAAAAAGCTCTCCTGTGAGTTTTCGTTATAGTTAGCCGTTTTTGAGATATTTCGATTTTTAAGGTTCGATGCATTTTTAATTATTTATGGAAAATAATATTTTTTTTTGCATTTTCGATTTGGGCATTACAAGTAATTAAGATGATCGTTTAGATTGTGTTTTTTAAACACAGCGATGATTCCTAACTCCAAATAAACACAAAAAAACAGAATATTAATTTGTTTAATTTTCCAATATTATTTTTAACAAATTAAATTGATTATTTACAACTAAAATGCTATTGGATAGTTAGGACAAACATACAAAATCTAAAGTAGTTGCTCGAAATGTAAACCCAATTGTTCAATACACAATTCACATCTACGAATGATCGAACGTGGTATAGCATTATTCAAATAAGGCCTTATTTCATCACATGCATTCCTAATTCTGTCTATTAGCATATCTCTTATGGTTACAGGAGTTTGGTACACTTTTTCTTTTAGAAATCCCCACATAAAGAAATCTAATGGATTTAGGTTAGGGGATCGTGGAGGCCAGGCGACTGGTCCTCCACGGCCGATCCATCTTTCTGGATAATTTTCGTCCAGCCAGTTCCTAACTATTCTCGAATAATGAGCTGGACAACCATGAAGCTGGAACCAGGCCAATCTTCTTAAATCTAACATAACATCATCCCACATATTTGCATGTTCAGCCTTTAAAAATTCCAAGAAGGTCGCAGTATTTAACCTTGCATGCAAAAGGTAGGGTCCAAATAGTCGATTACGGTAGATACCAATCCACACGTTCACACTAAATTAATGCTGAAAATTTCTTTCCCGAACTGCATGCGGATTTTCATGCGACCAAATATGTTGATTATGAAAATTTACCACTCCACGTCTAGTGAAGCATGACTCATCGGTCCATAAAACGTTACTTAAAAACTCCCTATTATTATTAGTTTTATCAAGAATCCACTGACAAAATGTGATTCTTCGTTCTCCGTCCCCTGGCTGTATTCCTTGCACAGGTTGCAAATGGTAAGGACGTCTATGGTCATTTCTAAGAACACGGTGAACATGGCTTGCTGAAATTCCCAAAGCACCAGAAACTCTCCTAACACTTGTGGTCGGATCTCTATCAAACTCACGCAGAATCATACGGGTAATCTGCGCTGATGAACATTTATGTTTTGATCCCTTTGGAGATTTCCAAAACCATTTTCAATTATTTGGCGATGCACTCTTACAAATACTGAGCGAGTTGGATGTCGTCTGTTTGGAAATCTTCGTGCGTATTCTCTGGCTGCTTCTGCTGCGTTTCCATTTACAAAGCCATACACAAATGAATATCCGCTAACTCTTGATTGGAGAATAAAAATGGCATTTTTATAAAACTTACAAAAAAAAAACAGGTAAAAGAAACTAAATTTCGTGCATTCACAATTGCAAAAAGACGTTTCAGGTTTCAACAGACAACAAAACTAACTGTCAACTAATTGACGTTTAACCTTATTCTGCTTTCAATTTCAAAAATATTTGCAGGCACAGCCTACTTCTAAAAATTATCGAGATACTGACTTTTTAACGTTATTTTATCATAAATAATTAAAAATGCATCGAACCTTATAAATCGAAATATCTCAAAAACGGCTAACTATAAAGAAAATTCACGAGAGAGCTTTTTTATGTTGAAAAGTGCGAAGAATCAGTTTTTTTATTCAGAACGCAAAAAATTGCGCTAAGAAAAATTTGCGGTCATTTTAATACACTACAGGTACAGTAGAGAGCGCCCTCTTGCGGATACAGTAAAACTATGCCCATGGCCAATTTTCGCTGTTATACATCAAATATTGTTCGAAATATTTAAAAAAAACTATTTTGGAAAGTAAATTTAAACACCCCGGAAGCCACGCATTTTTCGACCCATGTTTATATAGACTTTATGCATTAATTTTAAAAGTTTTATCGAATCTCATAGTTATGCAATAATAAACTGAAACACCCTGTATGTCGAAATCTCTCTCTCTTAATAAAGCAATTGTAAATTTTATATGACTTACCAAAAAGACGGAGCTCTGTTATCGTTTGGAGGTTAAGAAGTACAAGAGTACAATGACATATTTTTTGTTGTAGGTACGACGCGTCCGGAAAATTCCTGCTTCTGTAAAGGTGAATGCATCCCGTCTGGAATGCTCAACGTGTCCGCATGCAGGCAGGATTCTCCCAGTTTCCTGTCATTCCCCCACTTCTACAGCGCTGATCCCTACTATAGCAACATGGTTGACGGAATGAAACCTGACAGGGATAAGCATCAATTCTACATTATTATTCAACCTGTAAGTATACTTGAAAAAAATAGAAAGTATCAGGCACAAAGCATTGAATATGGCAAAAGGTTCAATTTAAAAAAGATATACAGGGTGGCGCATCGGAAACGAAACAGACGCATTTACTGGCAGCTCAGTTTTTTTTTGAAAAACGCTCAGATCCGTCGATTTTGTTTTCGAGGGGGACACAAGTTTGGCAAAAAATCACGTTAACACGTGCAGCCCCCTGGGCGGGGGTGACACCAACCCTAAAATCTTAAATGGAAAGGGGGGTCGAGTGATACCTTATTTTAAAGGTCTTTCAACTCCCTTTATAATGATGTAAAATACATGAGCTTCAATTCAGTAGTTTTGAAGATTTATTGATTTAAAGCTCAAAGTAGACTTTAATAGATACATCGGATTAGTTTGTACTACTTTCAGAAGAAATTTGACTAAAAGAATTACTTAATAAGTAAATGCTTTTCTTCATTACGCCTATGGTTTGTTTATCATTTTGTTGTTGAAAATAGCTATTGGAGCGTTTTTTTGCCAAACTTGTGTCCCCCTCGAAAACAAAATCATCTGGTCTGAGCGTTTTTAACAAAAAAAAATGAGCTGCCAGTAATTGCGTCTGTTTAGTTTTCGATGTAATAATAACTGTCTTTATTATTGATATTAATTGAGAAAGTGGTGATTAAAGAAAAATATAGTTTGATTCAATGATTGCTTGCTACACAGCACCAGCATCCTGCTCTTCCACTCAGCTCAGTGTAGGTTGCGCTATGTGCATCAAAGAAACTAAAGCCGAGACATACATGAAAAGGCTGTTATAAAAAGGGATACCTAGATACATGAAAAAATTATTATTGCTGCAGTGTTACTGTTTTTGCAGCAGTTCCGTGCTAAACAAGACTTTGAAATAGTTTAATTTAGACGATCTTAACTCCTTCCGGACTGAGTTGTAGACTTTACATATCAGTGAAAATTTTAAAAATTTTGAGGGCTGTGAAAAATTTGCAGATTTCGAAAACTTGGAAATTTTTGATAATCTACAAGATTTTGAAAATTTTGAAATTTGAAAGTTGTTGAAATGATTTTTTTTATATTTTTAGATGTTTGAGAATTGTGCAAATTGTTAAGAATCAGACATTTCTTAAAATCAGTGAGATTGTGAAATTTTTAATATTTTAAAACTGTTTAGAATTCCGAAGGTTTTGAAAATTTTGAAGATTCAGTTCTTGAAAATTGCGAAAGCTTTGCACATTCTGAGAAATTTGAGGAATTAAAAAATTTGTAGATCTTGAAAAGATTAAAAATTTTCTGAATTCAGAAATTTTTTAAAATTTTGAATATTAAGAAAATTTTAAAACTTGAAAGTTGTGAAAATGCAAATTTGTGAATTCTACAAATTCTAAGAATCCTGAAAATTCTGAAAATTTTGAATTATAGATACTTACATTTTAATTATTTTACAAATGTTGAATTTTTAAAATCCTGAGAATTGTAGAAATGTTGAAGATTCATCTTTTAGAATCTTAAAAATTGTGACAATTTTGTACATTTAAAAAAAATTTGAGGTCTTCGAACAGTTTTGAGGTTTTCAAAGTTTTCAAAATCGAAAATTTTTAGGTTTGAGAGTTGTGAAAATGAAAATCTCGAAATATTTTTATATTTCGAAAATTGTGAAAATTTATTATTATATATTTTTAAGACCAAGATGGTTGTGGAACTTTTGATATCTCAAAGATGCTGAGAATTTCGAAAATTGTGAAGGTTGTGAGGATTCTTTCAGATTTGGACAATCTTTAAAATCTTGAAATCCTATGATAATCTGGAGATTTTGAATATTTCGAAGATTTTGAGAAATATGAAATGTTTGCAAACATTGAAGTTTTCGGATATCTTGAAACTTGGAGGTTGTGAAAAATTTGTATATTTTGAATATTTGGAAAATTATTTAAATTTTGAAGATTTATACAATTTTTGAAATCAAGTAGATTGTGAAATTTCGTACATTTCAAAAACGTTGGGAATTTCGAAAATTCTGAAAATTTTGAATACTTGGACAAATTTTAAAATCTTGTAAAGTTTTATGTATTTTGGAAAATTGGAGGATCTTAAAAAATTTGGTAGTTCTGAAAATTTTGAAGCTTGAAAATTGTGAAGACGAAAATTTTGTATATACTCGTACTAAGTGACATATAAATCCGAACACCCAGTTTAAATGGTTTTATTTTAATAAAATTTTGTATAAGTACTTAATGAAGCATAATAAGTAAATGATAAAAATTTCAAATGATTGCACTGCTTTAAAGCCCTTTGACCTTTAATAATGTGTGGATGCACCCTGATGTGCTACGCATTCTCCAACGCGCCTAGGCATGCTTTTGATCAGGTGGTCAATGTCCTCCTGTGGTATCTCATTCCAGGCAACCACCAACTCCTCTCGAAGTGCTTCTAGAGTCTGAGGAGGACGTTGCAAATTGAGCAATCTCCTACCCATCATATCCCACACGTGCTCAATTGGGGATAAGTCGGGAGATCTTGGTGGCCATGGTAACAATGTGACATCATTATGTTGAAAGAAGTCTATTGTGACTCTTGCAAAATGTGGTCGGGCATTATCTTGTTGGAAAGTTGGATCTGCCAGGGTGTTAAGATAGCGTAAAAGATGGGGTTCTAGAACTTCGTGGATATAACGCTGCGCGTTCATGTTACCTCTGATGAAGATTAAAGGTGACCTGGAACCATAAGCTATAGCACCCCAAACCATAACTCCAACAGTGTGATGAACATGTCTTTCAACAAAAAACTGTGGATTCCTCCTTTCACCACGTCGCCTTCTAACCCTGGCACGACCATCGTGCATGCCTAAACAAAATCGAGACTCGTCACTAAAGACAATACTGTCCCATTCCTGATCCCAGAGTGATCGTTGTCTGCACCACTCAAGGCGATTACGTCGGTGTTCTCGAGTTAAAGGAAGGACCCAGTGTGGCCGGTATGAAAACAAGCCAAAACTTCTCATTCGTCGGTAAACACTTCGCATGCCAATATGTCTTCCGTGTTCTGCAAACCATTCATTTGCAATGGACCTGGTAGTGGAGAAACGGTCCCTTAAGGCCAATAATCTTAGGCGGCGATCTTCACGGTCTGTTGTTCTACGGCGGCATCAAGTGCCCCTTGCTTTTTGCGTACGGCCTTCTCGAAGCCATGCCTGACAACACCTAACCACAGTGTCTACACTTCTTTGCACTCTAACTGCAATTGCCCGAAAAGAAAGTCCAGCTTCCCGAAGTCCCACTATACGGCCGCTATCAAACTCACTAAGTTGACGAAACCGTACAGGTCTCCGTACTCTAGGCATCGTAACCGATCGTAAAGGATGTCAAGAACCAAAATCCGCCAACGTTGATTCTTTACTGCGGCTGAAATATTCATTTTTAGAGCGTTAGTGAATTAAAAAAAAGCAGTATAAAAACCGGAATGTCAAACTGATAAGGCTGAAAATTTGTTCACTTGTTATTTACAGTAAGATAAATACATTCACCAACTTTTATTAAAATAAAATTATTTAAACTGGGTGTTCGGATTTATATGTCACTTAGTATATTATGAATATTTGAGAATTTCGAAAATTGGGAAAATTTTTAGGTTTTTACACTTTTTAAAATCATGCAAACTGGTATTTTTTAAATTTTGAATAAATGGATGATTGTGAGAATTTTGTAGATTGGCTTCTTTGGCTACTGAAGAAATAAAACTCATGACTCACAACTCATACCTTGACTCGAAAAACCCTATTATACGTGCAGTAATGAACTTGGAATTGAGCTTTCACCGTACTTCAAAGGGATAAAATTATGTACTAACGCGTAAAGCCGTAACTGTCCAGAAAGCTTACTAAAACAGAACGGAATACGAAGAGCAATTACAAAGCTGTCATATTCTTGTATACAAAAGAAATTGCGCACAGCAGCGTTACTAGGAATATTATTAGGACAAAAGCTTGGCCTTAAAGCGGAGATGCAACGCATCAGCGTGTTTAGCATCACAAAAATAGTCCTGGACTTGGATAGTCAGGCAAATTGGGTCACAATCTACAGACGAGCTGGTAGTAGAATTGTTGTTAAATTTTATACAGCCTGATTAATTCAATTCCTTTTGTAATTGTAATCTTTTGATCTTTGCAGTCTGTACAACAAGGGTCCAGAGAGGACTAGCCTTACTGATTACCCTTTTTCCAATACTGAATACCTACTGAATACATTCATAAATTCACGAGAAACTGCAATAAATCTTCAAACTACGAAACCGCGTTATTTTTTTGGCATAATCGAAAACGAATTGGCAAATATGAATTTCGATTCAGCCCACTCAGATGTCACAATATATATAACGTCGATAAAAGAGCCCAAACCATAAAAAAACGAGTTATGGATTCCGGAAGAATGCTGGCCGTAAATTACGCTTTGATTTATTTGCATACAAGTACAGGGTGGTCCATGAATCTGTGATGATAAATCAGTTACAAAAAGTACGTTCAAAATTGCACTCAAAGATCCCGTGGACAAGTTTTAGCTTCAAAATCAAATAGCAGAAACAATACTAACAACAATTCCGAGATTGTAAAAGAAAGACAAGGAAATTGGGATCATTTGGCCCCTACAGAAGACGAAATAAAATATTTTCTATCCACCCAACCCTTTTTGAATAATCTACATAATTTGTCTCTCTTGAGAAATATTCGGCTCAAAGCGCATTTGTCACGAGCAAATTTTTCATTTGACAGGAATTTCGAAAAGAAAATATTGGAAGGGTTTCGTTGTTCCCTCTGCAACAACCAAATATTTTGATACAAAACAGAGGCATGTCATGAGTCTTTTGTCATGTCATCTAGAAACCATTGTTCTGTGCAATGTTTCACCGTTTTACGTATAAACAGCATTTTGTGTCTTACTAAACGACCATAGAAATTAAGATAGGGTGGGGGTTGATTATTAGTTATGTCAAAATCCTTCTGACTCGACTGTTACCTGCATGTAATCTAACAACCTTTTGAAGCATTTGCACCTGGAAAATATTGCAATAAGGATGGTTATATAAACATAACCTCTTATTGTTGGATGCGCAGTTATTCCTTGCGCAATTCAACATTAAATTACTTGCAAATTATAAAGCACGTCCATATGCTGAGCGAAATTGGATGTAAAAGTGCTCAGTATTCATATACTATGCTTACATCCAATTTTTTGTACAATAAACACGAAAAATTTGGTCGTGACATACGGATTTATAATTATTTCTGGAGCAAAAAGTTGGTTTGAAGTTCCGAGGTAAAACGTCAGCAAAAATGCACTGCTCTCAAGTACGAGAATACGCTGATAAGTTAAAAGAAATTGAACGGCAATATTTTCAAGACATAGCCGGGATATACCTCATATAGCCGAGGTATATGTTCAGGTCATATGTTGCAATAGTATCATGATAGCTGGCCTATAGTTGCAGAAAATATTGCCAGGAATATAGCCAAGGCTAGGCTGATATGGCCAAGATATGTAGCCGTGATGTGTGCTGCAGTATTTTCATCATGGCTAGCCTATAGTTGCGAGCAATATTGCTAGGATATAGCCCAGATGTCATATCTGTCAAGATATAGCCTAGATATATGGGCCGGCCATATGCTGCAATAATGTCATGATGGTTGAGCTGTAGCTGCAGACAATAATCTCCGAATATAGCCAAGACATAGCTAATATAGCCGAGATATATAACCGGGCCATACACTGCAATATTGTCATGATAGATAGCCTATAATTGCAGACAATATTGCTATAATATAGCTCAAATATGGCTGACATAGCCTAGATATATAGCCTCGCCATATGCTGGAATAATGTCATGAAGGCTAGCCTATAGTTGCAAACAATACTGTTAATATATAGCCGATATAGCCCAAATATATAATCAGATCATATGCTGTCATGATGACTGGCCTATAGCTGCAGACAATATTGTCAGGATATAGCCGACATATAGCTAATAGAGCAGGGATATATAACCGGGCCATACACTGCAATATTCTCATGATATATGGCCTATAATTGCAGACAATGTTGCTATAATATAGCTCAAATATGGCTGACATAGCCTAGATATATAGCCTCGCCATTTGCTGGAATAATGTCATGAAGGCTAGCCTATAGTTGCAGACAGTACTGTTAACATATAGCCAATATAGCCCAAATATATAACCAGGCCATATGCTGTCATGATGACTGGCCTATAGCTGCAGACAATATTGTCAGGATATAGCCGACATATAGCTAATAGAGCCGGGATAAATAGCCGGGCCATACACTGCAATATTGTCATGATAGCTGGTCTAAAATTGCAGACAATATTTCCAGGATATAGCCGAGATATATAGCTGGGCCGTGTGCTGCAATATTGTCATAATTGAGAAAATATTGTCATGATATAGCATAGATATGGCTAACACGGACAATATTGTCTGTAACTACAAGTCAGTCACCATGATAACATATAGCATATAGCATATGGCCCGGACATTCATTTCGGCTATATCAACTATACTTCGGCTATATCCTTGCAAGATTGTCTGGATATATCCGAGATATGGTGTTTATAGCCAAAATATATGGTACAATATTGCCATGATGACTGGCTTGAACTTACAGACAATATTGTTCGAATATAGTGGAGATATAGCTGATATAGCCGATATATAGGACCAGGCCATAGGCTGCAATGTTGTCATGATTACAGAGCCCTTATTAGTGTAGTCAGCGACGTAAAGATTCGCCACAACCTGTATTTTGGAAACTCTATATTTGCTTTATGTAGTTTATGCTGTAAAGATGCTTCCGCTGCATTCTATATAGAGACGAGGGATACGGGGAAACAGTGAAAAGCTCGCAGCTAGTTATTTTTGTGAGTTAACGGGGCGTAGGATATTTTTCAAAGCACGCACGTGTGCGGAACTGCCATATAAAACATGCATGAAAAGCTACAAAAACAGGGTTTATTGCGGTTTTTCCGCCAATGTTGACATAACCGGACACAACTCATGTGATACACCTTTGAGTACGTATCAACTTCATTCACGCATTCTTTCTGAAGGTAGCCAGCCATATGCTGTATTCTGGCATACAAGAACGGATATGAAAGATAGTAACGCAAAAATGAACTTCTACTGTATCCAGGGCTGTGGGAGCTGATGCTCCGTCCCCTGATCCCCTTTCTCAACAACTTCTTCCAGTTTGGTTTGAGACTGGATGAGTTTACTCGACAGTTGCGTGACGTAAACTAGTCCTCCGTGGATCGCTGCTGTCACTATTCTACTATAGCAGATACTCCAGAAGTTCCCTATTTATGTACCTCTCCATCACCTTTCTTATAACAGAAATCAAAGCTATAATCGTGTAGTTAAGACCTGATCTTATATCCTTTTTTGGGATAGGCTGTACATGAGCAAGGTTCCAGCTTTCGGGGTAGGTACCGGAAGATATCTGGAGGACGAAAGAACTGGAGCAAGTTCCGTCGCACATTTCTTCAGGACAACGGCAGGAATCAAGCGGCTGAAAGTTTCTTCCTGCATATTGAATGGAACCCTTTGAATCGACGGCTCTCGGGCGTTGGGGGAGGTCCATGGTGGAGTTGGCGGCTAAGATCTTGGCAAGAACTTCCGCCTTAGTCTTTGAGTTGGTTACAATCGTTCTATCCTGGCACGTAAGCGGCTTAAGGAAGTTCCCATCAATCTGCCCCCGCTGGTCTCTGGCATTGCGAACCATTTTGTTATATTGGTTCCTAAACTCAATATCTGCCATTCCTCACGATACGTGAAAGCGAGCTATTCAGAACTTCAGGGGTAGCATCTGACAATTTTCAAAGGTTGATAAATGCAAAATGGTATAAACTGATCACTCGAAAATCTTATTTATAGATCTGGATGCTTTTTTATAATTCTGAAGCTACTTATGCGGTTTAGCTGAACCCAATATTTTTGAAACTCATCTCACCGGCGTTGAATATGATGAAAAGCTGTTTCTTTTTTTTTCAGAAATCTGGCATAGTAATGGAGATATCAGCTAAAATGCAAGTGAATCTGCTCCTACAACCAGTTCAGCATATCAGGTAATGATAGCTTTAAATAGTATTAAGGTATCTTCCCATTGGCCTATTTGACTGACTTGATCCATTAAATTTTGTCTGTTATACATGTTCATATCTTATTTTCTGCTGAACAGATCTAGATCATGAAAATGAAAACTTCAATGTACCATACCTCAGCGAGAGGGAAAAAATAATGTCAATGCTACATAACCTGAAAGATCGCTATTTTTAGGTTGGTAAATTTTGGAAACTACAGTCAATTGCGAGATTTGGACCGTAGGATTCGGATTCCTCGGGTTAAAATCTCTCGAAAACGTATACTCTGGTTTCTGGATAAAAATCTTGTCGGTCTGAGCAACCGTTTAAAGCGTTGCAAGGGAAACGCAGAGTCAAAGTATTTGAAGATATTTTTTGCATTCGTTTTTGTTGGCCTCTGACATTTACGATGCACCCTAAATAAAGCCCGTCCATCTATCCCCATTTAATTAAACGGGGAAAATTTAATATCGCACCGAAATGACATCGCGTCACGTTTTGTTCCTTGCTAAAATTCATTTACTATAATTAGCGTTTACACCAAAATTCCATCAGAACTTTATGCGGGAACAAATCCATCTCCTAAATTAGTTTTCAAAGACACACAAGCAAAACTACGAGCTACATGGCGCGGTGATCCGGAAAAGCCTACGAATGGATTTTCCGGGAGAAGGTGTATTAATTATACAGGGTGATTTACGGGAAGGCCTAGTGTTTAATAGGTTATAATGATAATATTAATAATAATGATGATAATAGTTATGATATACAGGGTGTTCCTTAACGATATGCGAATATTTGAGAGTGTGAATCTACATTAAAAATTAATGTTAGTTTGCTTTATAAAGTATGGTCCAAAAATGTTTTTATTTATTTACTCAAAAATGGCGCGTCGAAGAAAAACAATTCAAGATAAATCATTTGTTGTAAATTGAACGGGAAATGTAAAAATAAGTTTTATTTGCCAAAAACCATTGGCGTACCATTTTTTTCTTAAAAAATATCGAAGTCAATACCCGTACGCACGCCAATGTCAAAGCTAAAAATCATTTTTGCATTGAAAAATATACAGCTATATTAACTTTCACTGCGTACCAAATATCAGTCAAATATCTGAAGCGGTTCTGAAAATATTAATTAATTTCCATTTTTTTCCTAAAACTTCGACACCCCGAGTTTTTGTAAGGAAACATTTTTGGGCCAAAGTTTATAGAGCAAACTAACATTAATTCTCCATGTAGACTCACACCCTTAAATATTCGCATATCATCAAGGAACACCCTGTATATTGGTATGTCGACCATAGGCAAGCATCTTATCCGGAAAAATGCAGAAATTTGAAAAGAAATATAGCAGATGAAACCTTCCTTCTTGAATCTTGAAATGCCTACACAGCTCTGCATTGCTAGCTCCCTGCTCAGAATAAACTTTCTAAGACTTCAATTAAGGACCTATAATAACTTCAAATCCCTTTTGTCATGAAACTGACCACAATTCCTGACAAGCACACCGTATGACTTCATAAATATGGAGAGCAGATGTCAATCTTTGGTCATTAAAAATACCCAAATCTTTGATTGTACCACAACTATCCAACCACACACCATCAACATATATACTAAGTGACATATAAATCCGAACATCCAGTTTAAATGGTTTTATTTTAATAAAATTTTGTATAAGTACTTAATGAAGCATAATAAGTAAATGATAAAAATTTCAAAATGATTGCACTGCTTTAAAGCCCTTTGACCTTTAATAATGTGTGGATGCACCCTGATGTGCTACGCATTCTCCAACGCGCCTAGGCATGCTTCTGATCAGGTGGTCAATGTCCTCCTGTGGTATCTCATTCCAGGCAACCACCAACTCCTCTCGAAGTGCTTCTAGAGTCTGAGGAGGACGTTGCAAATTGAGCAATCTCCTACCCATCATATCCCACACGTGCTCAATTGGGGATAAGTCGGGAGATCTTGGTGGCCATGTTAACAATGTGACATCATTATGTTGAAAGAAGTCTATTGTGACTCTTGCAACATGTGGTCGGGCATTATCTTGTTGGAAAGTTGGATCTGTCAGGGTATCAAGATAGGGTAAAAGATGGGGTTCTAGAACTTCGTGAATATAACGCTGCGCGTTCATATTACCTCTGATGAAGATTAGAGGTGACCTGGAACCATAAGCTATAGCACCCCAAACCATAACTGCAACAGTGTGATGAACATGTCTTTCAACAAAAAACTGTGGATTCCTCCTTTCATCACGTCGCCTTCTAACCCTGGCACGACCATCGTGCATGCCTAAACCAAATCGAGTCTCGTCACTAAAGACAATACTATTCCATTCCTGATCCCAGAGTGACCGTTGTCTGCACCACTCAAGGCGATTACGTCGGTGTTCTCGAGTTAAAGGGAGGACCCAGTGTGGCCGGTATGAAAACAAGCCAAAACTTCTCATTCGTCGGTAAACACTTCGCATGCCAATATGTCTTTCGTGTTCTGAAAACCATTCATTTGCAATGGACCTGGTAGTGGAGAAACGGTCCCTTAAGGCCAATAATCTAAGGCGGCGATCTTCACAGTCTGTTGTTCTACGGCGGCGTCCAGTGCCCCTTGCTCTTTGCGTACGGCCTTCTCGAAGCCATGCCTGACAACACCTAACCACAGTGTCTACACTTCTTTGCACTCTAACTGCAATTGCCCGAAAAGAAAGTCCAGCTTCCCGAAGTCCCACTATACGGCCCCAATCAAACTCACTAAGTTGACGAAATCGTACAAGGCATCGTAACCGATCGTAAAGGATGTCAAGAACCAAAATCCGCCAACGTTGATTCTTTACTGCGGCTGAAATATTCATTTTTAGAGCGTTAGTGAATTAAAAAAAAGCAGTATAAAAACCGGGATGTCCAACTGATAAGGCTGAAAATTTTTTCACTTGTTATTTACAGTAAGATAAATACATTCACCAACTTTTATTAAAATAAAACCATTTAAACTGGGTGTTCGGATTTATATGTCACTTAGTAGTTGAAAATATTTTGTCTACTCTAATAACCATATCCGAATACTATTCATCTCTATCTGTAATTCCAAACAATCATAAATATCCCTTAAAAAAGAATATACTTTCATGTCGTTAGCAAAACATAATTGCACACATTTCATATTTTCAATAGACAACAGAAATAAAAGTGGTCCCAAGTTAGACCCCTGGGGAACACCGGATGGAGCTGAGTAGGTTTCAGACTTGAGCCCGTTATGTGCTACGTATTACTTCCGCCTTGATAAATAGAATCTAAACGATTTTCTAGTAGCAAGTGCTCTAATTTCTTTAATAAAGCTCCATGGTCAAGCCCCGCTTATAGACCCTGTTCCTTTTCATTAAAAGCATTTCTATTTCTCAGGCTATACGAAAACGTCCCGAAAGTCTACATCCCCCTGTTCTACTTCACTCAAACGGTGCACCTTCGAGACGAGTTGGCAGAGAATCTGAGGATGATACAAAGCATGCCAGACTACGCCAACTATCTAGTGATAATCTTGTGTTTTCTGGGACTGATCAGCGTCTGCTGGGCGCTCTGCTCTTTCTTTTGCTGTAAGGACAGCCGCCAGGAGAAGACCATCAAAATCGCCAAAATCAACGGAAATACTCGCCAGTACGAAGAAGTTGCACTCAATGATAAATAAACTTTGCGGCGATACTTCATCGTAGGACGCCTGGGTGGCCTCCTTGATTGTCATAGAAGGCTGGGATATTTCTAGATTGTTACTGTTCCGTGACAGCGACAGCGCTCTCCTATTGTGAGGTTATGTTTTCTTTTTGAATCTCAAGGAATATGAGACTGATAAAACAGATTAAAACTTAGTTTTATAAGCCTGAAATTTCTTAGGATACAAAAAGAAAATATAATCTCAAAATAGAGAGATGACACGAAACAGTAAAAATCTATAAATCTAGGACAGGACAAACTATGAAAATCAAGGAAGTGTAGGAATAACTGGCGATGCCTTAAATGCTAAGTTGACATTTGTGCACCTAGGACAAAAGTTCTACCGACCAGGTTATATTTGAAATATCTGTTACAGTAGAGAAGAATTATACGATTTGGGTAAGATGGGCTCGTAGTTTCCACGTCTAATTAAAAAATACTTCATAAATCACCTGGTTTAAAAAAATCGATTCTTTCGTTTTAGCCCGCGCAAAATTTGTGACTAGGTTGCAAATTTGACCAACCGTCGAGAAGGATTTGCGCTCTGCTCAAATCGTAGATCAAATCTGATACAAGACTTCGACAATTTCTTTAGACTCATTACTAAAAAACGCACCCTGATTGATCGAGTTTGCGCTCTGGGTGCAAGTTTGACGCTCCGGATAGTAAAACCGGGGCGAATCAGAAGTATTTTCACTGAAACAATATTTCTAAAGCATATAGTAGATCAAATAATAACAAGAAAAGTTACCTAGTCACAAAGTGTTGAAGTTTGAAGAAAATTATATTTTCGGGGTAGATTAAAATTACCTTAGACTACATTGGTTGTGTAGGAATTGGAAACACTTACAGAAGAAACAAGAACATTTTATGCGTCACTGACTTTTTTTAAGCATTTATCACAATTTTAAGTAAGGCCTTTGATTTTCCATTTTACGCTCATCTTGCCTTAGCTTGCATATTTGAGGGAAAAACCGATAAATTTCGACCTGTTTTTCTTTGAAAATACGCTCAAGTTACTTAAGTTTGTTATTGTTTGTTTTTATTAAGAGGGGCGCCGACAAGAATTTTTCTAAGAGGGGCGCCCACAAGAATTTTTCTAAGAGGGGCGATCACCTGCAAGAGACAACTTTCTGCAAAAGTGTACCACAGGTTTTGAAGAGCGGGGATAATAAATAAATTATGCACACAATCACGCTAAAACATACACATTTCAATGTTCAATTGGTTTTTCTGGGCGACAATGTCAGTGGCGTAGAGATTTGCAACACCCCTGCGTAATAGGACACTCTATATGCCTATAGGAGCTTTTTGTTATTTTTATATCTACTTTCTGCTTTAGCAATGTCGTCATCGCTTTTTCCAATGCCTCAGTATAGATATATACGAAACTTTCAAAATTGGTTTAAGCAAAACAACTTGCACAAAGGCATCGGCGTCGCTAGTAAGTACGGAGCAGTATAATGTACGCCACTGATAATATGTCCATTATATAAATCATCAGCTGTCTAATGGTAGTCACACGTTTGAAGGTTTAGCTACCACGTGGTCACACTTAGTTGTAGGTTACGTTTATGTGAGTGAGAGAATGCTTAGATTTTTATTTATATACGTATGTTTAATAAAAATTTTATATTAAGATGAAGTTTTTTTTAAATATGAGGTAGCCGTGCCCAATTTAACAAGTTCTCCTTGTCTTTGTCCATGTAAGTAAATTAACGCTTATCGCTAACTTGTGAACAAAAGCCTTTTCTAAAAATGTAGAGGGTGTTTTCAAAGCTGAGTCATTTATTTGAGCAGCTTTTAGCACTCGTCAAAAGAAGTTGATATACCAAAAATCACCTTTATTAGGGCCACTTTTACCAAAATTAATATTATGGACTCTTATGGTCTCTGAATATTAGTGAGTTCTATTGAAATATTGAATAAAATCGTGAAAATTCGACTGTATTATGAACAAGACCACTTTTTGATACCAACATGATGCTTTTGTACAGAAAAAAAAGGACAACTTTCATGTATGTGTTTATAGGAAAAAACAGCCAGTATCACATATCAATTGAAGAAAATAATATAAACATGAATAAAAAAATCAACAATAGAAATTAAAACATGAATTTAATTCAAAAATCAAACATTTCTTAAAATTTTGACTGAATTATATGTAATTTCTTAATATTCAATAAGCTGGTGATGTTTCAATGACAAGTTGTCATCTCATACTTTGACAGTATTTTGTTTTCAACATTTCATAGCTATTGGTTACTAAAATTTGTTGATTCTGGTCTGTTCCCCTATAGGTGGAGAATAACGGACTGTTGTTGGTGAAATTGGGCATAAACGTTGCATAATAAGAGAGTTTTCATTATTAAAAAAATCATTAAGTTAAATGGATACCATAATGTTTCAAAGATGCAGTCCATGGTAATAAGTTTGTGTAGAACGCAATAGGACTTATACTGAAGACGACTCACTTAGTCCCCTGTGTCTTCTCGAAGCCCGGCGTCTCCAGGGTTGTTAGGTCGAACGCAACGTTGTCAGTCTCATCACTTAATATACAGACCTCGTGTACATAAAAACAAAATAGAATATTTCAGTCATCTACCTTCTATTCATCTTTAATTCATTAGTTTTAGTACAATGTCATATGAAGGCCTTGGCGTGTCCTCTTGTAGTGTCTTAAGGTCTGATATAAATTATTGTAAAAGAAATATGTTTGATATACGCGGGCTGGACAACTCAACGATCGTGCCTATGGCTGGTCTTAATGTTTTGAAATAACTGAGCGACAATGCGTATTAGAGGTGTTGAAAAAGCAACTATTTGTTACTTGAGTACTTGTTACTCATAGATACCCACAGTAACAAGTATCAATCCGAGCACGAAATGATAACCTTGATTACTCTGTTTTTAGTATCCGTACCCGCTTCGCGTACAATCGTTGATCGTTCAGTGGCAAAGCTGGTTTCTGCCTTCTTATTATGCCTAAGCTTCACTATCGGCGACGATCGTTGATCGTGTGATCGTGCAAGCATCCACACGAGCGTCCGTGGTAGTTTGTTAAACGGCAAGTATCAATATGACCCGGCGATTCCCTTTTGGTGCGTGTAAGTTATGGAATCCTGATGATTACCATTTCAACGGTACGGCTGACACCGTCCCGATGCCCTTGTGATTAGCGCCGTCCATCCGGTTTCTAGTTACAGGGTTAGGTGTTATCTTTGTGAGAACATTCCTGACTTTGCATTTTGCTATATTTTACTTCTTATAAACTGAATATGAAATGTAACTAGCGTTGTTGCCATCCTGTTTTCATCCAATAAAGTTCCTGCTATAGTTTCGAACCGAAACCACACTGAGTTTCATTTCTTGTACGACAAACCGACAATTCACGGGTCGATGGCGATCGTAAACGCTGATCGGCGAGTACAGCCGAGTATGCCCTCTGCACGATCGTGCTCGCGCATATTCATTTGTAATCGCCGATTGTGGATCAGGTAGAAAGAAGGGGGAAGTTGTGCTTTTGTCCGCAGCAGTCTTTCCTGCTCCAGAGACGTTTCTTTGAAATCAGACCGGAAGGACACGCTGTGGCTTCCCCCCCAACGTCCAAGTGCCGTTAATTCAAAGAGTTCCCTACACTATGCGGGAGATAAGACTCAGGCATAAGACCGTAAGACGAGTGCTCTTGTCACTCGACATCAACAAAACTTCTGGTCGGGACTGGATTCCTGTCATTGTACTGAAGAGATGTGCAACGGAGCTTGCTCCAGTTCTTTCAAGTGTCTTCCAGATACCTTGTGAATCCGGCACCTTCGCAGAAAACTGGAAATTTGATTATGTCCAACCCATCCCAAAAAAAAAGGATCTAAGACCGACCCTTACAGCTACAGGCCTATAGCTCTGCTTGCTTCTGAACTACCTCGAACGTCATAGCTTGATCAGCGACAGGGAGTATGGTTTCCGGCACCAACGATCCACAGGGGACCTCCTAGCTCACGTCACGCCATTGTGGAGTAAACTCGTCCAGTCTTATGGTGAGCCTCATGTCGTTGCTCTTGACATCACGAAAGCGCTGTGGCGCGCTGCTCTCTTAAGCATCCTATGGCCTCCCAGAAAAGCTTTGGAGATGGGTGGCTGTTTTTATCTCTGGCCGCAAAATATCCGTCGTAATTGACGGGTTGTCCTCTTCATCCCACAACATCAACGCTGATGACAGCACTCTACATGGAGGAACTTAGGGCGATCTCTGCCACTAAGCTGGAAAAAAGAAGACTAGCGACGACTTCCTCTCTGACAAGAGACCTGGAGGCTATCGCTGTTTGGGGACGCAACAATCGTGTACTGTACTTTGATTAACAAAAAGCGTTCTAGCGCTCACCTGGTTTCGATGGATGGCCGAGTTCTGCCAAAGAGCCATTCATTTCGGCTGGTCGGAGTCCAGATCACCGAGGACCTAATCTGGCACGAACACATCTCGTCAATAGCTGCAGCTGCTGGGAAAAAGCTAGGCTATTTGTTTAGGGCTAAGAAGTACTTTTCTCCGTATGACCTTCTCACTCTATACAAGGCCCAGATAAGGCCTAGCCTCGAGTATTGCTCACATGTTTGTCAGAGCTCTCTTCCTCGATGCCGCCTCGCGATATGCCTGCCAGACATACCCGTCTGACTTTGGCGTCCCAGCCTAACCGTGTCGAACTTCGTACATCCAGAACTGACCGATACGACCGCTCCTTTGTCCCGAGGGTGTCGAGATTGTGGAACAATCTACAAGAGGAAGCTTTTCCCAGTTCTACTAACCTTAGGCAGTTCAAAAAATCATATTAACAAAATTTCTTTGTTATCATCATAGCAACCGCGGTGTTCCGGTATTTAGGCTGCTTCGATATAAAAAAGGGTTTTCAGACGTCTCACATTCGGGTGGAAACCTGTAAACTCCAGATTTAAAAACATTTATCAAATTAACTGTTATTGTCGTGTTCTTGGCAACTTGAAAAGGAATAAGAAGTCAATTGGATTGGAGCAAAGTCCGGCAGTATTGTGAACCAGAAAAGCGACAACAGGGTAACTGCACCGTTAACGAAAACCACAATAATAAAAATTACGTCAATTTGATTCGTGTTTGCTTGCGTCACATTTTGGTGGGAATTTATAATTCAGTATGACACCAATAGTATGTGTAGACTAAGCTCCTGGTAGAATTTGATATACTGGTAGATGTTTAATTGAAATGCTTAGAAAAGTTACTTGCCATTCCCAATTTCCTCAAGCTCATATACAGATCATCTTTGTACAGCTCGTCAAGTGTAGGAAGAGATGCGAATTGTTGTATCTATACTACAACTATTTAAAACTGTAATGACTCATACGCGTGATCAACACGTGATCAGAGCTCGATCCCGGCTTCCTTCCAGTACAGCCGTATAGCGTACGACATATGTCGTTTCTGTGGCTTTGCGGTGGTCAACAGCACAGACAGAGATGGAAATAATGGCTGATTGTTCTCCGCCGGTAGAACCAATGAAATCAAAGACGCGCCTCGACCGGCAGACTTATAGGCGTCGGCAACGCATTGGAACGTGTTTCGTTGAGCGATCGCATATTGTGTGTTTTATAAGAATTGTTTTGTGATTGTTATTGTTGTGGTTTCTGTGGTTACCTACTGTTTTGGTTATACTTAACCATGGAGAGTACAAATGGCACGAGTGAAAGTACTGAAGGCCAGGGAACAAGTAGACGGCTTCGTAAAGCACTGAAGAGGGACGCGAAAGAATCGTGCTCAACGTGTTCAATTATCTGAACAGAACTATGTCGCACTGAGATGCACTCGCGCGTTGTGAAAGTATGACAGGCGTTCCAGAGTGGACCATTCGCAGGGTGGTGCATGAAAAGAAGAAAACTGGAGCTACTACTGATCCAAAGTTTAATTTGAAGGGACGAAAGGCCGTTAAATTGGATGACGATAACAAAATGGCGTTAAGGCGAACCGTGCATTCATTCTTCTTCAGGAATGAGATACCAACCCTCAAGGCTGTACATGCAGCGATCAAGGAAAATGAAATTATACCTCAAATGAGCGTCGAGGGTAATGAGGAAATCCCTGCACGAAATTAATTTTCGTTACGAAACGCGTAATCGGAAGTCAGTATTGATAGAGAGACCTGAAATAGTCGCCTGGCGTCGAAAATACCTACGCGAAATGATTGAATATAGGCGACAAAGCAGAAAAATCTATTATGTGGACGAGACATCGGTACTTGCAGGTCACACAGTTAAAAAAACCTGGATAGACAAAAACGTAGTGAGTAACCGACAAGCAAGCATTGAAGGTTTGTCAACAGGTCTTCGTGGACCGTCAGGGAAAGGTCAAAGATTGATCGTAACTCATATTGGTAGCGATAGTGGCTTTTTAGAAGAGTGTGACTTGATTTTCGTCTCTAAGAAAGGAGGTGATTACCATGACGAAATGAATGCCAGCTGCTTCGAGAGCTGGTTTCAAGGGGTGCTTCAGCGAGTTGAGCCCAACTCTGTGATCGTCATGGATGATGCTTCCTACCATAGTCGTCGAGCCGAACTATGGGATCTCGAAAAAGTGACATGCAGCAATGGTTGCGCGAAAAAGGAATCCCGTTTGACGATTCATG